GAGTAGTCAGCTAGTTACAGATGCACTTGTTTTACAGAAACTATAAGTGTTTGCCCTGCATTTCCCAAGGTAAACCATTGAGGGATTTGCATAAATTTGCATAGGCCATCCATTCAGAAGAGGAAATAACGAATGAGACAAATGAAAAATGCACCAGACACTGAAATACAGGCAAGCTATTAGAAATCGCATACACAGGAATGACATCCACAGCTATCAGCTGCTAATCTGTATGCATTTTTCTTTCAAACAGGCTTTGAACAGCTGTAGGCCTATACACGTGAACCACTTTAATTTTCCTGGTGTGCGATATGAAATTGCATTATTATCAAGTAATTATATGAAAGATGATTATGTGGCTTTGCTGTCTGGACAGTTTTGAAAAACGATCAGGAGCTCTTAGTATTCTGTGTACTCTGTATGCTCAATAAATAAAGAAAAGAAAAACCTTAATCAATATCTCTCTGAGCAGGAGAGATGAATAGAGGTCTTGCTCATAAATAAGCCCGTCTGTCTTGGTATCTCATTTTGTTCAGATTCAAATACACTGTCAATAAAGACAGATCTGTCATGCACAGGCCTCCTCAAATTTAGCCAAGTGAATTTTCCAATGCCGTATACTGTATGTAGTTGTTCAGTAGATTGCACAATCTTTGCAAGTAAAAACTGCTTGTGGCAGAGATCTCACATCTAAAGAGCTGTCTTTTCCATACTCTACAACAAAAGCACATGCATGATAATCACTACCTGTCACGATCAGTAACAATTTACTGTAACAATCAGTAACAATTTACATCTTAGATAGCACCCTCTCGTTTACGTCTCATGTTAATAATGTTACCCGGTCTGCTTATTATCATCTTCGAAATATCAACCGTCTGCGCCCTTTCCTTACGCCTCATTCCACTGCCATTCTTGTTTATAGTCTAGTCACTTCTCGTTTAGATTACTGTAATTCCCTCTTGTTTGGCCTCCCGCATAAAACAATTCGTAAACAACAAATGGTCCAAAATTCAGCTGCTCGTATTATCACCCGTACCCCCGCTATTCATCACATCACTCCTATCTTACAACAACTCCATTGGCTACCTATCATTTATCGTATCAACTATAAAATACTTCTCCTAACTTTCAAAGTCATTCATGATCTTGCCCCTTCATATCTTTCTGATCTTCTCCATATATCCACATCTGCTCGCACTCTTAGATCCTCCTCTTCCATCCATCTCACTGTTCCCCGTGTCCGCCTTGTTACTATGGGTAGCAGAGCTTTTAGCTGCTCTGCTCCCCAACTCTGGAACTCGCTTCCACCGGACCTCCGTAATATTGATTCCCTCTCACATTTTAAATCAAAACTTAAAACCCATCTTTTTAGAATAGCTTACTCCCTCTGACTATGTTGTATTTTAATTGTATTGTAATGTTTTGTATAATGTACGGTGACCTTGAGTGTCAAGAAAGGCGCCTAGAAATAAAATGTATAATAATAATAATAATAATAATTTCGCTTTGGTGATTAAAATTAGCAACCAGATTCGTTATTTTCAAAGGAATAGTTATTATTTCCCAACTAAAATTCTGCAATCATTTGCTTACCTTCTTGTCATTCCAAATCTGTGTGACTTTGTTCGGCATTTTGGAACACAATTGTTATTTTAAAGAATAATTTTTGTTCATATACAATGAAAGTCAATGGGGTCCAACACAACACTGGAAAAAAAGAATAATCTTTTATCTTCTGCAAAAAAATGCATACGAGTTTGGAAAGACTTAATAATGACAGACTGACAGTTACAGTTTTGTGAATTGCTCTGTAATGGTCTGAAGGCTTTCAAATCTTCATCTACCACTGTGACATTTCGTCACAACTCGTATGATACTGATTTGTTCGATGGGAACAGTTTGCTCCCTCTTACCAAGAGCTCATGCTGTGTATCTTCGAGACAGATTGTGCACATTTTTCTAACCTGCCAGAAATAGTGGTCACTGGGTCAACCATTACCAAGTAGCAGAAAAATGCTTCAGGAAAAGCTGGAATGGAATGGAAAATCTCAAAAAGCCAGAGAGTTATAGTAGATACAGTAAGCTATATTTATTTATTTATTTCCAATTCTTGTGGTTTTTGTAAGCAGGTAAGTCTGCTGCAGTGCAGTTATACAGTCCAGATAACATATAATTTTGAGTTTCTGATGATTAAATCATTCTCCTTCATTGTATTAACTCACTTTTTCCATTTCAATTAACTTAAAATTTTAAGGCAACCAGGTTACTTACTTTAAGTAAAAACCAACAATAATTTTTTTTACAGTGTACTGTACACCTTCCTTGAGTAGACACTTCACTGTAGAAAAATATTGTTAGTTTAACTTAAAAATATAAGTAACCTGGTTGCCTTAATTTTAAGTTCATTTAAATGGAAAAATTGAGTTAATACAATGGAGATTGAGTTAATAATCAGAAACTCAAAATATTATGTTATCTGAACTACATAAATTATCTAAGTTGATTTGACAAAAGAAAAAATGTTGTGATTACAAATCATGAAAATATGTTTTTTACAGTGCACAATTTAAATGTTTATAAAGGTATTATTTGTATCTGAATCTTTTATGGTATGTATGCAATATTTAGGCTAAACTTGTTACTGGTTGGGAGCTAACTCAGATCAAATTTTTTTTTAGCTAAATTAAACCATAAATGTAATCAAAATGCTAAATCAAAAAACGCATTGAATTGCTATTATTTTAATGTAGACTCTTTGTAATGTTAAAACATTCTACAAATGCCTGTTGTAAAGAATGAGACTCACACAAACATTTCACCTTTGTTGCTTGTTGCTGCATAATAAATTGTCAGTCCCATATCAAATACTCTTTGACCTGCATGGGGAAAAAGTTGGATTATTGTGTAGACAAATGTGATCTCCTGGTGTCTCATTCAGAGTCACTAATGTATTCCAAAATCCCTTTGTCTCACCAGGCACTGTATTAACAAAGAGGTTGACTTGTTGAACGAATTATAATGAACTGTAAGATCCCAACTGCAACAACCTTTTTTCTTATTTTGGATCCATAAATTTCACTTGGTGTGGCCTGAGATGTCCCTTTGAGGTTGACAGTCCAAAAGGTCATTCCAAGCTCAGTGGTGATGCCACATGAATAATAGTTAGATGAACTCTCAGAATGTCATTGAGTGTTGAATAAATTCTTGAAGGCTAATTTAAATAGTAATTTAAATTTTAAAAAGGGGGTTTTATTTATTTATTTACTTAGAGCTTTTCATCTAATCATCCCACCTCTCTATATAATATATAATATCAAATACACATATATGCAGTATCATTACTGTATATTTTAAATACTTGTTTAATGGCATCTTTTTATGAATGAAGGTCAGCATTACGGATATTAATACAGCTACTGTTGTCTCAAAGAAATACATTTATTTCTCCAATTTTAAACATGAATTATAGCCATTCATTATTACAGTTTAAATGAAAGCTATCAATTTTAACATTTATTAGGCTTCAAAAAAATATATAACAACTTAATTTAAGTGAACTTAAAACAATCCTCACATATACCCATAATAAATGTCATATTTACCTGTGATCTTCGATGTCTAACAGGTATGACATGTACAGAAATTGGATGCTTGGATGATGAGTATGGTAGCAAGATGCCAAAATTATGTTGGTGGAGTTGAGCATGTGGAGAGATGCCAAAACTGCTGATGCCAGAGCAAGGTGAGCGGCTGCTTATGTGTTCCGACAGTTAATTGAAAGATTAGATGGGTTCACTCCTCCCGGAATTACGTTGTGAACTAAACTAAAGTTAACAGTCTGCACTGCATATATTATAAATTAAATATAGATCAGTCTTTATTAAAGCTATAAAAGTCCAGAGCAGTGAGTAATTCTCTCACTGCTTGTTTGTTCTCACATTTGTTCTTTGATTAAAGGGGTGGTTTACTGCTTTTTTTCTTTGCTTGGTTGTGTTTATGGAGTGCAATATAACATGTATTCGTGGTTTTTCTTTTTTTAAAAGTCTTAGTTTTCATAAATGTCACCTTTATTGTAAGCTGCTTTCTCCTTTTCATTTGAACAGCCGGTTGACTTCCTGAGTCTATGAAACCACTACCTCAGAAACAGGCAATGGGATCAGATTGGTTAGTTTGGGCCGGTGTGTTGTGATTGGCTAAACTGTAGTGCACGTTGTCCAGAAAATTCACCTCCATTACCTTTATGGGCGAAAGCTGTGTTCATGTCAAATGTAAATAATGGTGTCGATATACTGCAGTATCAGTATGAGCCAGAAAGACACCTCCTTAAAGACGGCTCTTACAAAACGTTTCTGAATGGTAATTTGCCTATATTTTTTATTTTGTTACTTTATACGTTTGTTTTACACAATAGACTGACTGGCTACTATATACACAAACAGCGTTGGCATTGGTTTACATTCTTGATCAAAACGAAAAATAACACCATAAAGTATATATATACATGAAAAATACATGCAACATTAGTACATATACAAAATTCAGGTCCAAAATGTTTGTAAGCGTTTGTCATAGACAAAAAATAGCATAACTAAGTAGCTATGAAGCCAGTGCTGGCATTTGATAAAACTAAAATATTATGTCTGGAATTAGATACATTTAAAATGATTAAGTCTTAGCCTACTTACAGGTTGTGGCCCAACAACTGCTGTCTCTGGTTTTAAAGTCGGAACTGCTTCATGTTTTAGTAACAGTTTCTTGTTGAATCCAGCAATGAATTCATGGAGATTCTGGAAGCTGTTTTTCTTAAAATCCGCAGCACAGAGAGCTCAATTACGATCGTCATTTTCAGGAACATAATCAAACATAAATTGTATCCATTGTTGGCAAACTACAACATACGTGGGAAGCCCTAACACAGAAGACCTGACAGCTGGATGAACATAACACATTTCCGACGAGCCGCAGAAATATGGCCATGCCCTTTTTTGCATATTCCGGAGGGAGCGTTGATGTAAATGTGTTGGTTAGTTACGGATAAAACCCGTTGTAGTCTCATTCGAGTCGTTTTTGTAGGCATTAAACTTCCTGATTTTTAAAAGACTATATCTCTGCTTACATTGAACTTTCAGCGCTGCAACTTTGTAGATCCTATTCATGCACCAACAGCAACATTACACACTATTTAAAAAGAAAAAACTGAAATCACAATCAACCCCCCTTTTAACATTAATGACATTACATTAATTTAACATCACAGCAGCAGGTTTATTAGAATGCTGTCAGTTAAGACCTGCCGCTGGTGCACATGACGTGAATTTGACGCATTTCCCATTTTCTCACAACACTTTACATTCATTTAAGACATTATTTAACTAATTTAAGACTGCTCGTATGAGGGTACTCGACACAATTGACATTTTGGGCGTAATTGTGTGTTATTAGTTTCAAGCGTGAAATAGAACTCGATTCTGGCTCTATGTCTGTGCACATGATGCTGGCGCACGTGTCTTTCTGTGCGGTGTGTGTGTGTGTCACAGACAAGAGTCAAGATAGTCTTGTCGCGCTTGAATGTTTCAAAAGCATTTTCATGGGTAAGAGCATGATCATATAATGTAACGCTAGCCAAAGAGGGCTGAAAATATGACCCATACATGTTTTCGTGAGATTTGTTACACAAAATCAATTATGTGCATTTTTGATGCTATGCCAGGTTGCGCCTCCCACATATGCGTGCTCTCTCACCTCCATCTGTTGTCTGCATTCAGGGAGGTGTGAATCAATTGCTCGAGTGGAGGAAAGCAGACACAGTGTTCTGTGCTGTTCTCGTCTAAATCTCTCCAGACTTCCTGCTGTGGTGAGACCACAGTAGCAGCTTCATTGTGCAATGCAGAATAGCACATTAGTTCAATTGTGATGCAATACGTTTATTATAAAGAAAGAATGTGGCTTTCTTAACCTAAGTGAATCTTGTAGAAGTATTCTGGCCCATATGTGCAGATGACAGCACAAACAAGTAAGTTCTGATCTATACATCCCATCCCATTTTTATCTTCCTTGAAAGGCACAGCGGCGTCAGGTGTGATAGGTGAAAGTGAGTAGTCATTTAAACCATTCAGGCTGCAGATCAGGTACTCAAAGCTCTCTTGCAATCCAAAATCACTCCATTCAGTTGGTCGGAGGCATTTTACAGTAGAGCAGAAGGCCACTCTAGCTCACAGACTTACAGAAGACTGCAGTCACATGAGAGCTACTCTTCTAAAGAGGCAATCATGCTAGCAGAAGGTGGGGGAACAAAACTGCACAAACTAGTGTATTGTGGGCGAAACTGGTTAGAGATGCTACGCAAACTCTCCTCCTCATCAGCGCTTAAGAACACTGGGTCGCTCGCTCTTCAGAAAGCATTGTGATTAAGCTGTCAGTAGATGATCCCATCCCTTGAATGAAACGCTAATTGTTTTACCTTTATTTAAAGAGCTGTAACGAAAGCATCACTTCCTTAAATGTGTCATGGGAGTCAGAATCAAAGCAGTTCTTTTATTTTAAAATGTACTACTGTTATTCTTTGTGTTAATGGTAAATTAAAGGAGTGAAAATGTGACTTTGTTGAGCATAGTATATAAAAGAAGAGAGTAGCAACATGCTGTGCATAGAAATTGCTTACATTGCAACAGGTTGTTTTTTTTTAACTTTCAGATTAAATATTTAAAGGCTAAATCTTATTTGAAGGGATAGTTCACCCAAAAATGAAAACTCAGCCCATGATTCACTCACCCTGGTGTATATGACATTCTTCTTTCAGACAAATACATTTGGAGTTAAATTAAAAAATGTCCTGGCTCTTCCAAGCTTAATAATGGGAGTGAATGACTGTATGTCTTTTGGAAGCCCATCAAAGCGCATCTATTCATGATTAAAGTTTTCCACGTGTCTCCGGGCCTTTTGTGAAACAATGCGTTCGTTTCAGAAAAATATCCATATTTAAAACTTTATCGACTAAAATATTTAGCTTCTGGCAGATGGCAGCATGCATCGATTTACACCGAAAGAGTGAGACTTGAACTTGACACACAACATAATGACGAACGTGGTTTCCTGCCCTCTTTCTTCGAACTGCGAGCGCGAGGTGTCAATTGCGTCATTACGTTGTGTGTAATAATAACCCCCGGAGACGTGTGGAACACTTTAATCATGAATAGATGTGCTTTGATGGATTTCCAAAAACATAGTGCCATTCACTCCCATTATCAAGCTTGGAAGAGCCAGGACATTTTAATATACCTCTTGATTGTTTGTCTGAGAGAAAAATGTCATATACACATAGGATTGCTTCAGGGTGAGTAAATCATGTACTAATTTTCATTTTTGGGTGAACTATCCCTTTAACGGTAAGGTACAGGGAGTCGTCTGTGAATTAAACAGGACAAACAAGTGTTGCTTTATCCCACAACAACAACACTTGGGCTGAATATGGCTCTCAAACAGAAAGTTCAAGTGATTCAAGGGTCCTTAAAAGACAGAAATCCAGGTCTTGTTTCACTGCAAATCCATAATTTGTAAACATAAACCCCATCTAAGATATAACAGTGAAGTAATTATTCCTATCTTTTGGACACTAATAGACAAAACTAAGCCTGACTTTTTAAAAAAAGGAAAAGAAAATGCGGACAGCAGTGTTTATAGTCAAAACTAATTAATATGAGTCTAGACTAAAATAAGTCAGGACTGAGACGAGAAGAGAGTTGATCCCAAGTCCATGACAAGACCAAGACCATGAAAATTTAGTCTTGGGCTGTCGTAATCGAGTGCACAAATTCTATCCCACATTGCACCGCAATAGTGTACAGCCGATGTTAGGGCTGGGTATCGATTTCGATACTTTTTTTCAAGTACCGACCGAATTGCCTCGATACTATCGAGTATCGAAATGTCTTATTTTTTTGTACCAAATTTCAACACCTAAGGGGGTAAATGTTGTTAATGACAGTGAGCCAATAAGCATGCAGCATAATTGGCTGTGGCGGAAAAACACTAGTTTACGCAGTTGCCCAAAGAGACTGTAGTGTGTGTGTGTGTGTGTGTGTGTGTAAGTGTAAGCCTCCCAAGCCCATTGATGGAAAATATGTGGAAAATATCAAAAGTGTAGCTACATTTCACCAGACTCGATGCAAGCAGCGTGCAAAGCAATATTTGCGTCGAGATAATTGATTATTTAAACTAAGATAATTTAACAGTTGAATAGAGTGGCTAATTCTCTAAACATTCTCTGCAAAATTCCATTTTGCACACAGTATTTTAGCACAAAAACAGCATTATCACAATCCAGTTTAAACAGGTGCTAAATGCACTGAAATGCTGCTGAATCAGTATTGTCAGTACATGTCATTGAGTTCTATGTAAACTAGGCTTATTATAGCTTTACTCACAAAACTTGGTGCTTTTTTACCTAAAACCACCAACAGAATGCAAGCGTTACAGTCATGTCAGCAGTTATTCATCGAATGTTAAAGAAAAGCATGAGCAGTGTAGTCGCTCTCCTTTCAGCATGTTAAAAAGTCAACTCGGGTGTCTGGATAGCAGTGGTGTAGTTCCAGAAAAGTACGCCTGATCATGTTTGTCGTTGGCAGCACAAGCGGTTTGGGCAATTTTGTGCTGGTGGTAACTGATTTGCACAATTCCTTCAAGGGTACAAAAACAGTGCACAAATATACAGTGCTGTCAGGGGAAAATCTTCTGAGTTTGGTTTTAACACAAGTTTACTCTTGTCCTACTCCTGGAAGCAACAAGAGTGCATCTTGTTTCTTGTCTCTGATTGGTTTTCGAACAGAACAACCTCATGTCCTCCCTCACTCCATTACTTGCCAAAACATAGAGCACTGGGTCCACCACGCTGTTCAGGCTGGATAGTGCAAGGGAGCAAGTGAAGGGTAAGTACATCGCTTGCTCGAAGATGCAGCTTTGTTGTTCTCCCACAGAAAAGAAAGCGATGGACCGTATCATCAGGAGGATGTGGTACGGTGCAAAACAGAAGGAGAAAATGCCAATTACTCCCATTGACAAAAGCCTGACTTTGCGCTTGCCTTGCTCATCCACCCCTCGACTTTGCTGCACCTTGGATGCGATCAAGCAGTAGCAGACCGTGATGACCACCAGCGGCAAGAGGAAACCAATCCCGACCCGTATCAGGTTGAACATCGCGATGCGTTCGGTCATGGGGAAGGTCTCGTAGCACCTCTGGTCGTTTTCGTCCAGCGTATCTGGCAGCTTGTCCAGGTACAGCACCAAACAGTGCAAGGCCATGACAAAAATGTAGACCAGCCCAGAGATCATCCAGGCGTAGCGTTGGCGGCGGAAGGCTTGGACTCGCAGAGGGAAGGTGATGGCCAGGCAGCGATCAATCGAGATCCAGCAGAGGATATAGATGCTGATGTACAGGTTGGAGTAGTAAAGGAAGCCAGCCAGACTACAGAGTCCCTGACTAAGGGTCCATTTGTGGTTGTTGCTTAAATAATAGATCCACAGAGGCATGGTAAGGATGTACAGGAGATCCGAGACGGACAGGCTGAGAAGGTAGATCCCTAGAACGTTCTTTCTGCAGATCTGCTGAATTATGGGACCAATGGTGACCAGGATGAACAGCAATCCTAGGATGAAGGTGATGATATAGATGGACATCAGCAGGGGACCTGCCGACGGGTCCATGATGACACATGATGAGTTGCTTGCGTTGGATGTTGCGTTCATCATAATCTGTGTGCACAAAGAAAACTTTTGTATAGTGAATTCTACATAGTGATTGCAATTTCAAAACACTGCTTCATGAAGCTTTGAAACCTTTATGAATCTTTTGATTAGAATCAATGGTTCGGAGCATGCATCAAAATGCCTTCATGCCTTCTTCTGGGAGTTAAAAAAAAAAAAAAAACTCCCAGAAGAAGGCATGTAGCCGAAACGCGTTGGAGTTTTTTAGATGGTTAATTTGACCAAGCCATAATAATAAAGGTATTTTAACTTTTCCCTTTAACTTTTTTAAGAGTTCTCTTCCTTGATTCTTGTTATTAAACATTTGTTAGATTATTATTATTATAGATTTGTTACATTTATTATCTTGTTGCATTATTCTTTTTGAAAAAAGTAGTGATTCTTTTTGAAAAAAGTAGCTATTCACTTTTGAAAAAGTAACAATTCTTTTGGAAAAAGTATTGATTCTTTTATGAAAAAGTAGCGATTCAGTTTCAAAAAAGTAGCGATTCTTTTTGAAAAAAGTAGCGATTCACTTTTGAAAGTCGTGATTCAGCACTCTCGAAAAAGTAGCGATTCAACACTTTCGAAAAAGTAGCGATTCATTTTTGAAAAAGTAGAGATTTCATTGAATCTGTAAGTCAGGTACACTGTTTAATTCTGAATATTATATTTTATTCTGGTGCGCTTAACGTTATAGTTTTCTCTGAGTTTAGGCTCCTGTGTAATAGTAGCCTAGGCTATTCAGCAACTCAAACATACCAAACCAACAATTAATAAAAACACACCAAAAACGTATTTTGCACGGGCATTGCAGTAGTTGAGCTAAAACCACTGAAATGCAACACATGAAATGCAATCTACCTCCTTAGTTCAAATTCATAAATTGAATCTGAATTCATTTTAATCTCATTTCAATGGAAAATTGTGTTTATGCTGGTATAAATAGCCAAATTGAACACAGACCTTGCAAAATTTACTGTTACATAGTTTAATTGTATTATCTATAGACAGACCTTTGTAACCACCACAAATACATCTAGGTGACTCCCTTAATAGACTGTAGTACATTAATTTACAACATTACAAAATAACCTAGTGGCTGCATTTAGTGTTGCTAGTTTCATAAGCATCATTAAAGCGCACTGTACAGCTACTTTTCAGTTTGCGTGACAGATACTGATCAGTATACTTTATACTTTTTTGACATAGTGGTAAACCACTGACCTTTAAGGGTTTTTTTTGTTTGTTTTTTTTTAGTTTGAGTTCTCATTTAGCTATGATGCGGTTAACCTCGGCTAGACGTTGTTGCTGTTGATTATTGATGCAGATGTTGTGATGGTGCACAATATAGTGATGTTTAAAAAGGTCCTTTCTGTAAGTAATCACTTTCAGGTTGTAATTTTAATTGCAATGAAGGGTGAAAAAATAATCTTTTGAAAGGGCGACAGTCAGACTACATGTGTTCATTAACTACTCATTCATAAATGAGATTATTTATATTGGTCATCATCACGTAACAAGAAGTATTCTTAAAAATCCAAACTCCAATTGATCACGTCAAAATTGCGATTGCTGCAAGTTGCAGAATGTCTGTGGTGTGAGAATGGAACAAAATGTGTGATCCTGTTACTTCTTACTAAGTCAAGGTGCAATGTTTAACCAGCCAAAACAAACCGCAATGATTTATTGAAAGTATCTCATGATAACACTCGCACGTCAAGTAAATTCCACTGCAGTATGAATGTAAATGAAATTATTTGAAAGGGAAATTTCATCTATTTACACACTACACTCCCCTAAAAATCAAGTTTCACAAAGGGTATCAAAGTCATTATTATCAGACATGACAACTTGCAGGAAGCCTGGTACTTAATTAAAAACACAACGGGTAACAAAATGTCATCCCGAGCACTACTAGCTGCATGTACCATGATTATGATGGAGAGTTAAACAAAAAGAAAAATATTACGCTAAAAATTATTGTAGGTTATAGGTTTTATATATGCTTGGATATAAACACTAAAATACTGTACAAATATTACCCCGACAGGATGAAAGTCATCTGTTAACTCTGGGAACAGCATTCTTGTCTGTTTGCTATACATTTTATGATATGTTGTTGATTTTAAAGGCAAAATGTCACGCTTGGTGTTAAACTTAATTTCACGGTCGAGCAAATGTGTTCTTTTGTACCAGCTTGCAGGGAAAGAAAGGTTTTGTAAAATGTGCCTGGGCTGAGTGGGTTTATAATAGATTTAAGCCTCAACTTTCCAGACGCTTTTGCCTGCACAGATCTTTGACATAATATTTGTCAGCAGAGCCTTTACATCTGTTCAGATGCTGCACACATGCCATGTATTTTCTCCGTTAACACGAATGATCTCGTGAAGATCTCTTAAAGGGTTAGTTCACCCAAAAATGAAAATTCTGTCAGTATTTACTCACCCTCATGTTGTTCTAAAACTCTATGTGTTTATTTCTTCTGCTATACACAAAGGAAGATATTTGGAAGAATGTTTTAATCAAACAGATCTCATTCCCCATTGACTACCATAGTAGGAAAAAATACATACTATGGTAGTCAATGGGGAATGAGATCTGTTTGATTAAAACATTCTTCCAAATATCTTCCTTTGTGTTCAGCAGAACAAATAAACACATAGAGGTTTGGAACAATGTGAGGGTGAGTAAATACTGACAGAATTTTCATTTTTGGGTGAACTAACCCTTTAAAGATGCCATTCATATAGCACTTTAAAATGTCCATAAGGTTCATGTCTGTGCTGCTTAATATTCATCACTACCCTTCAGCATGTCCCCTGTATTCCCTTGAGTTCATCTTAAACACTATTGCTCCACTTGTCTTTAATATTTGGACAGTCTTTTCCCTTCCTCCCAGTCTCTGCTTGAATTTTTTTCAAAATACTGTTGCCGACATACACAGCTGCCGGTCTCCACATGAAGGGTTTGCAGCTCTTCAATTCATGCTCTTCAGTGCAAGACCAGTGAGAAAAGCATGCAGTCAAGAAAAAAAAAATATTTTCACCTCTTCAGGACCTTTATTTATACACCAGGAAAAATCCTTATAGCTACACTTGCACTACTAATATCCTTGATATCCTGATAGACAAGCAGCACTACTAGTATTGCTCATACGGATACTGATTATACCCTTAATCTTAAATTGTTAAATTTTGATGCATAACTCATCTTGTTTTATTTCAGCTTCAGACATAATACCTGAAATGAAGCGAACTGTTTGAAACATCAGATTCACTGTTCGGACTCCTGTTCGCTACTGCACGATTTCACAGACAAGGCTTAAGCCGATAGTCCCAGACTAAAATGCATATTTGAGCTGTCTTATATTTAAGGAAATTGCACTGAGATATCTTAAAACATCTGTTTTGTCACAAGATGCACTCTAGTGATATTTTTTCTAAGGCACATTAAAAATGACTTAAATGTCCAAATTTAACTAAGGCCTATTCCTGGCTTAAAGGGCTAGTTCACTTTGAAATTAATTTTTGATATGCTTACCTCAAGGGCATCCAAGATGTAGGTGTCTTTGTTTCCAAAGATTTTTCAGTTTTGATATTTTTAGGTCAAACCGTTCTTGTCTGTCAGTCATATAATGCAAGCCTATGGTCACCACCTCAAAGAGCAAGCACAGAGAAGTCCAAATTAAACATGATTTAAAGGGGTCATGAACTGGCTTTTAAAATTATATATTGTTGTCTGAGGTCAGCTTATGACATTCGCTTGGTTTTTACATTCAAAAACATCAAAATGAATAAGTAATAGGCTATTTTCTACCCTAGACACGAACGGGCTGACCTAAAAATATCAAAATTGAAACTACTGTGGAAACAAAGACACCTACAGTACATCTTGGATGCCCTTGAGGTAAGCTAAAACATACCCAAAATTATTTCAAAGTGAACCATCCCTTTAATCTAAGCCTTGTCTGTGAAACCAGTGGTTTGTTGAGGAGAGGTCATGCGAATCTAAATGTCAGACCGAAATGAGACAGCGGTGGGAAAATGAGGTGGGCTCATTTGACATGGCCTACAGAGCAAACAACCAGTTTCTGCACAGTAACGCAACTATAGCTGCCTGTGCTAGTAAATGTGATTTGTGTAGGCATGTGCTAACTGCTAAGAACATAAACGTGATGTCTAAAATCAAGAATCATATAAACTGATCCAAATAACTTAAGGTACTTTAGGGAGTTTTATTTGTTCCTCAAATGTCTTCTGCAATTTGTCACAAAAAGCCCATATCTGAAGCCTGATCTATGTGTTTAGTGAAATCCCTTTCCTTGTGTGCCATCAATGTTATTTCCAAGAAAAAGGGGGGACAAAGGTTCCAATTCCAACCTATACCTAATACAGTAGTCAACATTTAAAGTTCATCAAAGTTCTCCTAAGACCAGTATGGGTATTGTTCAAAATTCATGCAAGTTTATTGGTTTTGATCCACTTCAAATGTTGACTATTGTGTAAATATTGTTAATACACATACTGGGTTCTGAACCCATGTCCTCTTGTAGGCCGTAATTTAAAACATATGCTTTATATGTCAGGTGTGGGGGTGGTGAAAGGAGTGAGGACTCAACTACCCTTGAGTTGATGGGGTTTTCAATGATAATAAAATAAAACAAAACAGACCCCAAGGGGGAAAACAAGACTGACTTAAATGACTTGACTGAAGCACACAGCAGGGAAACACACAGTGTACATTCAAAGTACATTTATTCAGTACATTTGAAATATATTAACTCAAATAGCAATATCAAATAGCATATACTAATGTGCTTTAGTATGTTAGTCAACACAACCAAATAATTTTTAAAGCACTATAAAATATTAATAAAACAATAATTTAAAATGCACTTTAAAGGGATAGTTCACTTTAAAATAAATTTTTGATATGTTTTAGCTTACCTCAAGGGCATCCAAGATGTAGGTGTCTTTGTTTCCACAGTAGTTTCAATTTTGATATTTTTAGGTCAAACCGTTGTTGTCTGTCAGTCATGTATTGGAGATTTACCATTTAATGACTCGTGAATGTAAGTAAACATTGATGGCCTAAGACACGAAACGAGCAGTTTGTGTGAGAAAATGAACCCCTGCCATAGACCTCCATTATTTGACTGACAGACAGGAACAGTTTGACCTAAAAATATCAAAATTGAAAATACTGTGGAAACAAAGACCTACATCTTGGATGCCCTTGAGTTAAGCTGAAAAATATCAAAGATTAATTTCCAAGTGAACTATCCCTTTAAAACAAAACATTTAATTTAACATTATTAAAAAATGTACTTTTTAAAATTGTACAGCTACAAACAGTCATAAAAGGGACATAAGTGTCTAAGTAAATTATATTAAATATATATTAAATTAAATTATATATTAAATTATATTTTATTGTCTGCAATTAAACCTTTCTTAATTTTATTTTTTTATTTTTAAAGAAAATAACGAGTTTGATATTTGGCTGCAAACAAAGACGTTGAAAACATTTAAGTTCCAAAGAGCTTTTAAAAAATCCAGTGTATTCACGGACCTCGATCTGCTTCGGGTAAGAGACCTTGAGATCTTAATGGCCTCTGTTGCCAATATCAAACACAGGCGTACTAACAGCATTAGCTGCTATAGAGATTGTCGTGCCAGCAGTGCGTCACACTTAAATTCAATTCAGGTCTAACTGACCGACGGGTTTTAAGCAACGTGTGCACTTAACCCTACCTGAGCAAAACAGGAAAAATCAATAGCTGGTAACCTGAGCGCGCACTCTCAAAGCTTCAAAGAAGACTTTTAGAGGTAGAATTAGATTGAACCAGCAAATACACAACATTCCCCCATACAATACATAAAAAATTGAAAGTTGCATCAGACACAGCCTCAGCTCTGCTGCGATTTACGATACTGAGTAGTCCTGAAGGTTGTAAGCGATGAACAAAATGTGCTGCGATTTATTTGCTGTGAAGTTTTTGCAAAAAATTATGCTGTCATTTCAAAATATGCCAGGCTGTTTTGCTGAAAATAAGACAAGGTTATTTTTCTTATGTCTGACAAAGTGGGCAATGTGGTGTTCCCTTTAGAGATTACACTAGGTTGTGGTTAAAGTCGCCAAACAGAAACTGCTCATTAGACTTGATATTATTTAGGCTACTGTTGTTTAAATGTAGCTTTAAAGCTTTAATTAGCTTTTAAACTTAAAGGAAGAGTTCACTTTTAAAAAACCTTTTGCTGATAATACTCACCCCCATGTCATCCAAGATATCTATGTCTTTCTTTCTTCAATCGAAAAGAAATTAAGGTTTTTGATGAAAACATTCCAAGATTTTCTCCATATAATGGACTTCAATGCGAACTAAACGGTTCAAGGTCCAAATGACAGATTCAGTGCAAACTGTTCAAAGGGCTTTAAACAAATTCAGACGATGAATAAGGGTCTTATCAAGCGAAATGATCGCTCATTTAAAAAAATAAAATAAAGTTTAAGTTTTATAAGCTCAAATGGTTGCCTTGCTCTGTTCTGTGATGCGCGTTTGTGACTCCCCTGTTCAAACTCGTTTATCAAAATGAACAAGTCTTTTTTTCGTGTCATTTGGTTCATTCAAAGAACGAAATGACCGAGTTGACTCGGGAAAAGATTTGTTCATTTTGATGAACGAGTTTGAACAGGAGCAACACAGAACTACGGAGCCCCTAAAGGGATGTGGTGGTGGAAAAAAAATTTAGGATGGGAGATTTTTTTTTTTTTTTCCAAAACTTTTGCATTCCCTCACAAAACTTTTGCGTTCCCCCAAGAAACTTTGCGTTCCCTCGCAAAACTATTGCGTTCCCTCGCAAAGATATTTGCGTCCCCATGCAAAAGTTTTGCGTTCCCTCACGAAGATATTTGCGTTCCCTCGTACGTACGGAGCTCTGAAACACTCCCAGCGGGACATTAAACAGGAAGTGTCTATCCGAGCTACCAACAGGTTTTGCGTGGGAATGCAAATATCTTTGCGAGGGAACGCGAACATTTTGCATGGGAACGCAAATATCTTTGCGAGGGAACGCAAAAGTTTTGTGAGGGAACGCAAAGTTTCTCGAGGGAACGCAAAAGTTTTGCGAGGGAATGCAAAAATTTTGAAAAAAAAAATTCTACCATCCTAATTTTTTTTCCACAACCATGTCCCTTTAGGGGCTCCGTACTGAACAGAGCAAGGCAACAGTTTTTTTTTTAAAGTGAACTACTCCTTTAGGAAATATTAAAGGGCAACAACTGAACCCCACCCCAACATAACGTCCCCTTGGAATTATAAGGTTCTATCTGATATTTTTGTATCAGATAGAGCTGAGATATTGAGATCCCTTCCAGAGCTGAGATATTGAGATCCCATGTAGCATTTATGCCATTATAAATATCTCAATATCTCAGCTCTGGAAGGGTCTAGAGTCTCCATTTTTGCACTCGTGTGTAATTCCCATGGCCCTCTATCCGAATCCAGACTTTCAAGAAGATTGGGGAAACTTATTTTTTCGCACCAAAAAAAAATGAAAGGAGAAAAACGAAAACTCACTGTCGTTTTTTTTTCGGGTCGAAATTTTGAGTTGCTCTGATCTTTTTGAAACTCTGGATTCTAATAGAGGGCCATGGGACATAGACCTGAGTGCAAAAATGGAGGCTCTAGACCCTTCCAGTGCTGCGATATTGAGATATTTACAATGGAATAAATGCTATGTGGGATCTCAATATCTCAGCTCTGGAAGGGTCTAGAGCCTCCATTTTGGCACTCAGGTCTAAGTCCCATGGCCCTCTATCCGAATCCAGAGTTTTAAGAAGATTGGAGAAACTTAATTTTTCGCACAAAAAAAAAACGGAAGGGAATGTGTCGGGTTTTTTTTTGGGTCGAAATTTTGAGTTGCTCTGATCTTTTTGAAACTTTAGATTCTAATAGAGGGCCATGGGACTTAGACCTGAGTGCAAAAATGGAGGCTCTAGACCCTTCCAGAGCTGAGATATCGAAACTCAAAATTTCGACCCGAAAAAAAAAACGAAAGGGGTACCACTGTCGTTTTTTTTTTTCGGGTTGAAATTTTGAGTTTCTCTGATCTTCTCAAAACTCTGGATTCTGATAGAGGGCCATGAGACTTAGACGTGAATGCAAAAATTGAGGCTCTAGACCCTTCCAGAGCTGAGATATCAAAACTCAAAGATTCGAAGCGAAAAAAAAACGAAAGGGGTACCACTGTCGTTTTTTTTTTTTTTGGGGTTGAAATTTTGAGTTTCTCTGATCTTCTGGAAACTCTGGATTCTGATTGAGGGCCATGAGACTTAGACCTGAGTGCAAAAATTTAGGCTCTAGACCCTTCCAGAGCTGAGATATCGAAAACTCAAAGATTCGACCCGAAAAAAAAAACGAAAGAGGTACCAACGTCGTTTTTTTCGGGTTGAAATTTTGAGTTTCTCTGATCTTCTTGAAACTCTGGATTCTGATAGAGGGCCACGAGACTTAGACCTGAGTGCAAAATGGAGGCTCTAGACCCTTCCAGGGCTGAGATATCGAAACTCAAAATTTCGACAAAAAAAAAAAACGAAAGGGGTACCACTGTCGTTTTTTTTTTCGGGTAGAAATTTTGAGTTTCTCTGATCTTCTTGAAACTCTGGATTCTGATAGAGGGCCACGAGACTTAGAGCTGAGATATCAAAATTCGAAATTTCGACCAGAAAAAAAAAAATGACAGTATTACCCCTTTCGTTTTTTTTTCGTTTTTGGGCGAAAAATTAAGTTTCTCCAATCTTTTTCGTTTTTGGGCGAAAAATTAAGTTTCTCCAATCTTCTCAAAACTCTGGATTATGATAGAGGGCCACGAGACTTTGACCTGAGTGCAAAAATGGAGGATCTAGACCCTTCCAGAGCTGAGATATCAAAATTCAAAACTTCGACCCCAAAAAAAGCCGACAGTGTCACCCCTTTCGTTTTTTTTTTTTTCATTTCGGGTGAAAAATTAAATTTCTCCAATCTTCTCAAAACTCTGGATTATGATAGAGGGCCGTGAGACTTTGACCTGAGTGCAAAAATTGAGGATCTAGACCCTTCCAGAACTGAGATATCAAAATTCAAAACTTCAACCCGAAAAAAAAAAACGACAGTGTTACCCCTTTCGTTTTTTTTCATTTTCGGGCGAAAAATTAAGTTTCTCCAATCTTCTCAAAACTCTGGATTCTGATAGAGGGCTGTGAGACTTTGAGCTGAGTGCAAAAATGGAGGCTCTAGACCCTTCCAGAGCTGAGATATCAAAATTCAAAATTTAGACCCGAAAAAAAAACGACAGTGTTACCCCTTTCGTTTTTTTCAGTTTTTGGGCGAAAAATTAAGTTTCTCCAATCTTCTCAAAACTCTGGATTCTGATAGAGGGCTGTGAGACTTTGACCTGAGTGCAAAAATGGAGGCTCTAGACCCTTCCAGAGCTGAGATATCGAAATTCAAAATTTCGACCCGAAAAAAAAAAACGACAGTGTTACCCCTTTCGTTTTTTTCGTTTTCGGGCGAAAAATTAAGTTTCTCCAATCTTCTCAAAACTCAGGATTCTGATAGAGGGCCACCAGACTTTGACCTGAGTGCAAAAATGGAGGCTCTAGACCCTTCCAGAGCTGAGATATGGAAATTCAAAATTTCGACCCGAAAAAAAAACGACAGTGTTACCCCTTTCGTTTTTTTCAGTTTTCGGGCGAAAAATTAAGTTTCTCCAATCTTCTCAAAACTCTGGATTCTGATAGAGGGCTGTGAGACTTTGACCTGAGTGCAAAAATGGAGGCTCTAGACCCTTCCAGAGCTGAGATATGGAAATTCAAAATTTCGACCCGAAAAAAAAAAACACAGTGTTACCCCTTTCGTTTTTTTCGTTTTCGGCGAAAAAATTAAGTTTCTCCAATCTTCTCAAAACTCAGGATTCTGATAGAGGGCGCACAAGACT